TGGGTGCAAAATGGAAGCAACCGAAGTAGTGGGTTTGAGCTTTTGGTTGATTGGGTTTGATTTTGGATAAGATACTGCAAACTGAGCCTGAATTCCACAAATTGAAAATCACTTCCGCAACATTAACAAATAAATTTAGGGTCATGGCATAAGCCAAAAGGTATGATGTCATATTATTTCAATCATTTTCCTATACTTGGGCCCTTAACTAAATGAATATTTTTTTGGCTTCAGTTGAGTTCACCAGCTAGATGGACGATCTAACTTGTAAGCAATTGCAATATATTTTATTAGTTTTGGCTTACTCTTCCCTCTTTCGACTTGCTTTATGGTAGATAATAACAAATAAAAAACAAAGTAAAACATAGTTCATATAGATTTTGAACCATATCAACATCTATTCCTCTATGTTTTGTGACAGGAAAAGCCTAAAATGAATTTTATCATAGTAACATCTAATATTTCTTTTTTATTTTTCAAAAGGGAAGGTATAATAAGGAGTCCTTCTGTGTTTCGTTTATTGTTGCATCCAATGCCCATCCAACTCGAGAGGTTGAGAATTAATTAAGTTCAACCTTTACCTTATTTTGATCACCCTGAACGTGATCACAGTGTCACTTAATCATAACATTCCCTTCATGTCCTTGGTCTTACTTCGACCAGCTATTTCCAGTATAGACATGTTAAAAAAATAATATATATATATATATATATATATATATGTATGAATCACGAACAATCAACTCGATACAATTTTCAAGGGTGTTTTTTCATTGCATTTCAATATCCTGCAGACTGAAAAAATTGATAATATTTTTAGTATAGGTTCTCTAAATCATCAATAATTGCATTACAAATGAAATCCATGGATATATTATCCCATTATTCAAAATTGTCTATGTTAAGAAATAAAATTCCACATCGAATAAAGATAAAAATATAGACCATTTTATAAAGATTTGGGCTACTCTTCTTAATAAGGTTGACTTTTTAAGACGAAACCCCAAATCTTAACGGTCTATACACGTAGGAGGAGAAATGTGACACTTGTGTTGCTTGAAAGTATAGAAAACCAAGAATTTCAAAGTTCATCGTGCATAAGTTGTTCCAATGGTACATCCGACTGAAGAACTCCATCAACACTAACTGAAACAACATGAATAATGTCTCGGCCAGCCATTCCCACCTTCACAGCATCCATAATCTTAAGGGAAAAATTCATATGTAAGGTGTATTGTTTACATCAATTCACAAATCAGGTACAAAGTTTAAAAATTCAAAATTCAGGTTTCTATAAAATTAATTGAAAATATTTATTAATTAAATATAATAAAGTTACAGTTATATGATTAATGGTCACAGATTTATAATTATTGGTCACATATCGCCGAATTAATTGGTTACAGATTATTTCGAGTTCACAAATAAAAAATTTTGTAAGTCACAAATTATTTCAAAGTCACAGATCAAAAATTTACAGGTCACAAATTATTTCATTAGTTATAGATCAAAACTTTTGTAGGTCACAGCTCACATCATTGGTCATAAATTCAAAAAACTATAATTCACAGGTCACACATTTTCAAATTTGATGTTCACGGACTACTTTTTAATGACAAATGATCGAATTTTAATGTCACAGTTTACGGTTACTGTCACAGACAAGACCAAACAGTTGATCACAAACATCCAACTTCCAATCCTGACACCACCACTACCAACACCAATAATTGGTCACAGGTCAAATAGTCAGTCACATACCACCACCAACTCCATGCCACCATCGCTACTTGCAACAATCCTTACTTGTCACCATCGCCACAACCACAACACCACCACCAACAAAATCGTCACCACAAAAAACCACCACGACTGTCACCACCAAACACACCAACAATATCCAATTTAATGGTCACAGTAAACTAAATAATTTGTGACCGCCATCAATGCTTGTGACCACCACCTCACAAGCCCCCAACAGCACCACCGTCACCGTTGCTACCAAAACTACCATCACCTACAACAAATCTAACAAATTGCAAAAAAAAAAAAAAAAAAAACCAAATCGTCACACCAGATCCACTGTCACTTTACCACCACAACCACCAACAAACCACCACCTATCAACACATTCATGCCAGATTCACCACCACCACCACCTCTACAAACAAAAGCCACCCCACCACTAGATCCACCACCGATCTAACACCACCGCACCCAAATAATTGGTCACAACCATAGTCAATCGCCACCACCTACCATGTGGATATAATACATTGAGAATTTATCAAAAGCACGAGAAATTTTCAAAATAGCTCATCATCTGAAAAGCTGAATAGGTTTCGTCTCTTCAAGGAGTACAGCCACCTCAAAACATTCAACAACCTCCAGTGCCAATGCCCCCACCCTCATCCTTGTAAAGGAGACCAAGATTATACCATGTCGAAGTATTCATTTTGTCGAGTCTAAGTGCTTCTGTCAAAAGGCTCTGGACAATGGGCGAAGACCGCTTGATGATCCATCTGAGAAGCACGGCCTTACAGACTAGACTGGGGATGTGCGTTGGAGCAACATCATCGTCGCGCTCTTGTAGTGAGGCCGGTATTCTTGTAGCAGTGCTGATCTTGTATCGGAACCAATGCCAGTCCTTAGAGCGTCGCCGCTACAGTGTGACGTCGTGAACGCTACCGACGAGGAATTTTTCGACGACGATTGTGATGGAGAGACCGGAGAGAAAGAGAAAAGAAAGGGTAGAGAGAGAAATGGTAAGGAAAAAATTGATTAGGGTTTGGAATAATTTGGGGAAATATTTAATATTTAATTATTATATTGATACCCGATTTAAGAATAGTGAAACTTCAACCCTGATTTTTGAATTGTGATCTTTAGACACCTAGAATTATGTAATTTTCCCTAATCTTAATCCGTAACTTTGAGTAGCCCAATAGACTTTATAACTGTACTATGTTTCGATATTCCTCGATAATTCAGTTGATTCTTCAAATACCATGAGTGTTCTCACACTCCTTTCAACCTCGTGCACATAAGTTGGTGAGTATGCCTAAGGCTGTCTGTGATGCTTTAGTCCTTCCGATTTTCGTCTGTAGATTGCACTTGCGAATTGATTCTGTTCTTCATGTTCTATTTACTTGCAAATTAGCAATTCTTAGGCCCAGTCTCAGATCATATAGCCCTTGTTTGGACTCCATTTTAATGAGGTTTTAGAAAAAAATGTATTTTGAAATAGTAATTTTTTTTGAAAAATATGTGATTAAAAAAAAAGAAACATTTTTTATTTACATGTAAAATTATTTTATTGAAGAATTAGTGATTGAAAAAAAGAAAGAGAAAAATATATTAAAATTAAAATAGATCCCAAAGAGGGGCATAGTATCTTTATCTGATTGTATTCATCTTAACCTAACCCGAACCCCTGATGTTTGGGAGCAAGATTCTCATGCAATAACTTGATCCTTGTATGCCTTGGCTTTCCTACTTATCGACCACAAGGTTGATGTTGAACACCTTCATTCATTTTACTCCAATTTTCCCTCTCTCGCAATACTATTTAGTGGTTTGAAATACAACATAAGTCTTTCAATTAAAAGACCATTACAGGATGTTATTCAAAACTTTTCCCTAATCCAACATAGAAAGCTAAGGGTGGATGTCAGGTGGTCCGATCCGAATATTTCAAAAAAAACAATAAGAAACCATTATAAAGATATAGTTTGACTTGTTTCTCTGTATGTTTTAAATGTCTCAACAAACCTTGCATGATTCTACTTTAAAAGTTAAGATACCCAATTTGTTTCACTTCATTAATGATTTTGATTGCTTGTCTTATTTTTACTTGTTTTTGCTAAAGTTAATTAACACAACAAAGTTATTAGCAACAAAATATAGGGACGAGCGTCGGATTCAAAAACTAATTAATTGCCTTTTCCCAAAGAAACAAGTTACTCAACGACATTAAATGATCGCTTTTTCTTTTCTTTAATTTTTAAGAAAAACACTAATTATTATTATTATTTTTTTTTTTCCAAATTAAACATAATGATTCACAAATTGAAAGATTATTTTCGTGTATGATATTACATGGTTTCACAATGCAAGAACTCAGTATAGTTTTCTTAAAAAATGATTTGTGTACCCTGAAATAATCTAGATCAATAGGGAAATGTCAACTCATTGGAGGACGCCATATTTTAAGAGCCCAAGCTATCTGATTAAATAATAACAAATGTAAAATAAGGATCGAGCATTGTTATTTTGTGATTTTAACACTTTAATTTAAAATCTATAACTATAATATATTAAATATCACTTCAAATAAGAATTATTTTTTGTACGAATCTAACCATACTATGATTCAATTATTTCAATAATACTTTACTTTTCATTTTTCAATATGTATTTAATTTATTTAATTATCATGATTATACATATATATTTGACATATTCATATCACCTGTGTACTTTCATTAATGTATGAATATCACATTCATTTAATTAATATTCATCTTCATTTATGCATTTCAATACTATTAGTTCTAATTATAAGTTAATTAGAATTTCACATTCAAGAATGCATTTTATTATTCGTGTCTATATATGCTAATGAACATCCAATTTTACTTAATTAGAAATTAACTAAATGATTTAACATTCATTGTCACATATATATTTTCTAGTATTATTTCTAAATTAATTAACATTCACACATATTCAAATTTTACACTTACAAAATTTATAAAACATTTCATAATAACGTACAATGCAAATTCAATGTTGACTAGTAATGTAAAAAGTCTTACCTTTCGTCTCTATAGATGTATAGAAAATATTAAAAACTGGAGTAGACTTGTTAGATGGAAGGCATTACGCCATTATTTGAGTCAACTATTCCACCAACAATTTGCATCCATTTTCCCATAACGCAAGATTCAATACAATGAAAGAAGGCGATTAATGGTTAAATCTTTAATTTTCTATGTAACTTAACTCGAATTTATACTTTATATCTAGAAAGTAAGTTTTTACTCAATTTTTTACAAAAATAACTTTTACACAACCAAACTCTTCAAATAAAATCTACCGTACATTCAAGAAACATCACTCGGGAAAAAAATTGAGCTATCAAATGGTCATTACAAAGCAATCCTAGAAACAAAATGGACAACTCTCCCCTTCACACGCAAGTATAAATCAGGATGTATAACAGTACGTAATCACTAGCAACCAACAATCGACTCGGTACTAATATTTCCAAGAAATACTGAAAAATGATTTCCATCTTATGGTATCAAGAGGGACAATGATGATATCGCGCATATAGGTAAGGGAGGTAAAGAGAGAATATCAATTGGAGCTTCTCTAATAGCCAGCCATCTTAGTCAAACGATGAATGGTACTTCTAGCAACTCTATTACCAGGTTCCAGTTTCATAACTCTCCTGAGGTCTTCTGCCCCAAGCTTGTATTTTTCCATGCTCTCATAAAGAAGAGCACGTTGTACGAGGACAGATACATTTGAGTCATCGTGTTCCAGCACCTGCACAAAGATAATGCAGCCTATGAACCTTTCTTATCCTGATAGGCAATGCAATACCAATGAAATGACGACACAACACAAATACGGAGGTACTATGGAGTAGTGTTAGTAGAAAAGCAATTGGCAATATATTAGGACATCCACAATCTGACACTTCCTTTGCACAGCCCAATTAACTCATACATCATAAACTCCATTTTTGAGACAGAAGGCAAAGCATATATCGCAAATATAAAAGAAGAGGGACTTTTGACTAAAATTACAGAAAGGGCAATCTAAGTAGTTCGTCACCAAGCCCTTGTTTGGCCCCCATTTTCTCAACTTCATTTTTCCCCCCGACCCCAAACTCATTTTCAACCACATTCTCCCAATAAAATAATTTTAAACGTGGACTATAACTTTTCCCAACTTTTTAACTACACATTCTCCAAAAAAATCACTTTTCACAAAATCTATTATCAAAAAAATCTCCACCAAACAGGAGCTAAATTGCAATATGCCACCAAACAAAATGCCTTGGTAGGAAATTAATTGAGGAAATGATAAATGTTGATACATGAGTAAGAATGATCAATACGTCCCATACTTAAGGAGCATATTGACAATTATAAAAGCTGGAACAGGAAAACTCATAAAAATCAAATGTTGCAGGGAAACTGAGCCTAGTGAAGTTTATGATCTGGTGAAAAAATATAATTGACTCTTCTACAAAAATTACTTGCAGAAACAGCAAGACTAGATTCGAAAAGCAAGCTTTATCATCTCCTTTTAAGTGAAAATGAAAATATTTTCATAGTTTAAAAGTAAGCTTTATCGACTCTTCACAATTTAACCATTGATGTCAAATGAGTATGGAAGTGTTGTTCAATTTGGAATAGTACAAGGCCTCTGAATAACATTAGCAATCTATACAGATATCTTCCAGGAATTGATAGATGACTTATCTTTAAAGTTCTCCTACAATATGATATGAAGCAATAATTAGGTCCTTGTTTGGCCCCGTTAAAATTTTTAATACATTTCTCTCTCTCTCCCCTCTTTTCAACCAAACATTCTCTAATAAAATAATATGATAAGTAAACCAAAAACTTTTTCTTCTATTTTAACCACACATTCTCTCAAAAATTACTATTTCAAAATACATTATTTCCAAAATCTCATTATATTGGGGGCCAAACAAGGGCTAGAACATACATAATTTTGAATCGAGCAAAAATTATATCCTCCCATTCCAAATGCTGAGCTTCATTGTAATTGTCAGGTCCCCATAGACAACACAAATTAATTCGATAAACAGAAATTAGGGGCTGACATAGTTAACTTAACAATCATACCTTTGTGCAGTCAGCCACAGCCTTTTTGTACTCTCCAACTTCCTTGTAACAAGAAGCTCTGCACGTTAAAACCTCCATAGTCCCATCATCGTCGCCAGCCTTTTCAAGAAGAATGACAGCCCAAGACAACCATTTGATAGCATCAGCAAACTGCCCCTGCTTGTAGTTATCCATACCCTTCGTCTTTGCAGACGAACCAGTAACTCCGGCAGGTGGGGGTGGAAGCCCTTCAATCTCAGTGGTCCCACCGGTATCATGCCCTCCAAATTCTGAATCCAAACCCCAATCATCACCCCCTGAAAACTGCTGGCTTTCAAATCCTTGACTCTGGCTTGCACTGCCACCGGAAGAAGAAAACAATGCGTCAAAGTCATTTACCCCCACAGATTGCCCCGATGGTTGACTTTGATTCTGTGAATGGGAATTTGAAAACCCAAAATCACCCGTCGGATCGCTATTAGTTGTGGGAAAAGCATTTGATGGAAATGACGATCCACTCGTATTTGGAGCCGCATTTTTAAAATCCCCAAACTCGTCCTCACCACCACCCTTCTTGGTCCCTTTATTCTGTGAGTTCATACCACCACTTGGCTTGGAGCTGAAATCAAACAAAGATCCAAAAGGGTCCTTATTTGAACTCATGCCACCACTTCCTGCCATACTCTTCATAGACGGACCACCTAGATTTGGACTCTTAGTAGGATTCCCACCACCAACACTCGAACTCCTTAGATAACTTCCATCCCAATCCATCGTTCTACCGGCATTATTAATATTAGTCCCCAAACTTCCACCATTTTTCACAGAACTGCCCATTTTGGGCAATGAATCGGCCATTCCACCACCAAGACTCGAACTCCTTACATAGCTTCCATCCCAATCCACAGTTCCACCACTATTACTAACATTAGTCCCCGAACTCCCACCATTTTTCACAGAACTGCCTATTTTGGGCAATGAATCAGCCATTCCTCCCGTCGATAACGTGCTCCTATTTGCGGTTGGAGCTGCGTCTTTCAGAGGCACATTGCTACTGCTCTTGCTGCCGCCTATTGCCGAGCTCACCAAATCCCCAAACAAATTCGGGTTCTTACCATTCACAATCCCAATACTCGAGCCACCAGATTTCATCGGAGCCGAAGAATTCCAGCTCTTCCCGAGAATATCGCCCACCATGGACGTCGGACCGGATAAAGATCCAGATCCACCAGACTGGACAGGATTCACAGGTTTATGGGTCCAAGCCGGTGCAGCACTGGGCTTCGAATACGCACTTGAATGCGTGTACGAGGAAGTCCGGTTTTTCTGATCATTCAAGGATTTGGGGCGTCCTGTCCCGATCCCAAGATCGAAATCAAAAGCATTCATTGATCGAGACTTGTTATTAGATTTTCCAGAACTCGAATTCATCCTTACTTGTAGTTATTTTTTTATTGTCTTTGATTCCTTGATAAATAATGAAAACTAAAAGGGAATTGATCAAAGAAAAGATCTGTAAATAAATTGCAGATTAGAAAGAAGGAAAACGAGATATTGGGAAATCGGAAAAAAAAAAAAAAAAAAAAAAAAAACGTACCTGATGAGATTATTATCCGATTTTTATTTTTGCTCTGTTTACATATAAATATTTAGAATCGATCGGTGAAGCTCGATCTTTCTGTGGCTGGAGCTATTACTTAAGGCGATGATGGAGTTGTTTTGGGACCCACGATTCTTCCAAATTTTGAAGATGGATCGGAAGAGAGGTGGGATTCGTGTTTGAAAGGTACTATGGGGAAATGAAGGGTTAATAGCCACCTAACTAATGACTCATTTTTATCGACTAGTTCATGTGTCAACGTTCAACTTGTTCATAAATTAAGTTGTAGAATATAACTAAAATGTATCGTTTCAATGATTTGGCACATGAACATTTAGGAATTTTTTTTTTCGGTTAAAAATGAAAGTTAAATCGAGAGATTATTTAGCAAGGTTTTTGCTTCTAATGCAATGATGTTAAAATTAGTGGACAATTGACATATAAAAATGTACTTCATAAATTTTCTAAAATGTATTTTTTAAGATTGATGCGTTTTTGTGTGACTTAAATATACACATGTGTCATCGATTAATTTGGAGGAATTACAATTTTATTGGTTCCCAAATTAGTAATTTTTGTCATTTATTCATAAATTTATGAAAGGATATGATAGTACAAATACAACATCATATCCCAGATATTTTGTGCATTTAGGCACACGTGTTGTGCATGTCCTCAGTAATTATTCATACATTTATGACAGGCTCTTTTTGTCTTCTCAAAAATCATGTCAAATTGATTCTAAATCAATTATCTAAAAATGAAACATCTTGTAAATTTCAATAAGGAGTCTAAAACAAACCAAGCTCCTGTTTGAGCTCCATTTTTCTCATTATTTTTCTACAGTACTCATTTTCAATCACACATTTTTTATTAAAAATAATATTTCATGTAAATAAAAAAAATTTCTCCTTCTCTTTTAAGCGTACAATTCCCATCAATTTGTTGGAAAATAAGTTATAAAACTTTTAATAGAATCTTAAAACTTTAGTTTTCATTTTTTAATTTCAAGTTTTCAGTTTTAGTTTTCTTTTAGATTCAATACAAAAGATTAAAACACATTATTATATTTGTAACCTATGTTGAATTTTATTAATGAGATGGTTGAATTTTCTACTATAAAGGAGGTGAATTTTACATTTTTTGACACACAACAAATCAAACACAAAAGATACTTTCTAGTATTTTCATACTACTTTCTAATCATTTTATACTATATTTTTATATTTTGTGGCAACTTGATGTGAGGCTTGTTCTTTATTTCCTATGGTCGTGTCCATAAAAGGAGAGTCACGTGAATTTTATTTTGAAGTCGTATAGTGTCGAAAAAATCTGCACGAAAGGGGGAGGCAACACGACTTTAGGATAGCGTCCTCGAAGTGGTTCCCAATACTTGATTTCTATTCTCAATTTCTATTATATTATTGTCGAATTATGTTTGTGTTGTCTAATTGTTTAAGATAATTGATAAAAAAAAAATCTACACACAAATCACCAATTTTTCCAACACAATTTACTATTTTATAATACATTACAAGAAATTAATGGAGCTCAAACAAACAGGTTCTAAAATTCGTTGACCAATGTTACACGTAGTTCAAAGTTTATTGGTGATCACTATAATTACCCATGAATGAATGACAAGGCAAAGTAAAACTAGATTAGAAGAAGTGTGAAATGGGTAGCAATTGGAGCCGTATCTGGTTGAGCTATCGATTCCGTATATTTGCGTACAATTTTTAAGTGAACATTCTAATTTTTCATTTGATAAGTCGTAGAATTTAACTAAAATTTGTAACTATTCAATGAATTAGCACTATATTAAAAAGTGCAAGTCAAATTAAATTATTGATCTGAATGAAATATTTCGTAAATTTAAATGATGAGTCTATAACAAATTAAAATACATTAACCAAGGTTAAACGAAGTGACCATCCCTAAATTAAACTAGAAAGTGAATATAAAGGTAAAGTAAAACTAGAATTAGAAGAAGTGGGAAAAGGAAAATGCCAATTTACTCGAAAATGTTAGACACTTTGGGTGATTGACCCTCACAAATTGCTCGGATACCACGTGAATTAAATAATACTCTCGAACCCCAAAGTATGTGTATTCGATCACCCCTATGTTAATCATTATGTTCCCCTATCTCGTCTGTAGGAAAAATGGGGTGACAATTGGAGGCGTCTGGTTGAGCGGGCCATGCTTTAACATGATTCGGTTATCCAAAAATTAGATTACAAGTTGGTCGACCATAGTAGGTGAATTATGTCGGATTGAACAATTTAATCTAACGACTTATGAGGATCGATGATTTAACTGAGCCAAATTATTAAAATTAAGTCTTTGAAAAGTGAAATTTAAAAAATTACAGGTTTGTAATATTGACGGCCGGTTCAAGATGTGTGGTGAGTTATACATACCAATAAATGGTTTTTAGTCTTCTAATTTTATTTTATTTCTTTTAAAACTTCCCTTCTGTCATTTTTATTTCCATTTATTTCTATTAGTAAGGTTTGTGTGCTTAGATTTCAAGTTTACATGTGATCATATAAATCGCTTCTACTTATCTACATACGTTTAAAAAATGCATGTTTATCATGTTCCTTGATCTTAATTAGGTAGCTCAATATGAGTAGTTTCGGTTTCACTTCAAGAATTCAATCCATACTCGTCTCCATAAACTGGCTCAATCTCAAAACAAATCAGGTGATCACTTAAGTCCCCACGTTTAGGTAAAATCCTCAATTTAGAATTTGTAACATACTGATGTGATTCTTGTAATGAATTATATGCAAACTTGTGTTTACGGTAAACGAAATAAAAAATATTTTAAATATTATGTCTTGGTGAGTTGCATTTTTATAACCATTTTTGTAGTTGACAAATATTATTTGTGTATATAGTTATAATGGTGTTGTTACTCATAACGTTGTTTACTTGGGATAATTTGTTATAATGGAATACATATATTTTAATGGATTATAATCTACAATATAATTCGTACTACACATTAGTAAACTTGTAGTATGTTGGATTAAAAAAGAATTGATGAAAATGCTAAACAAATTCATTTAATTATTATTTATGTGTGCCGCTTATATTCAATGGACACATAAACATACAATTCGTCCGTGTGCCATGTTGTAGAATTTAACAAAAAACTCATTAAGGTTCAATGATTTGGTATACGAATGAGAAGATTTTCAATTGAAAAATGAAAGTCAAAATGAAACATTAGTAAAGTTAAACTTAACCAATTTGTGTCATGTCAACATATTTTTACGTACTTCCACTTGACACCTTAACAACTCTATTTGCATACCCGAGATAGGTGGGATAACAATGCACATCCGAATTTCAACAAGTGAAGGCTTGAGGAAACTCAACTAGCTGGAAAAAAGACTTCCAACATTTTGTATTAATGGAACGCCACTTGACCATGATCAGATATTACATCATTTCACGGTCAGTTATACCTTTTGTAACATTTCATCTCATGATTTAGCTTTACCCTATATGCCAAATTCTTGATGAAATTCAATAGAAATTGTGTTCTTCACTGAGCTATTTTTCAATTAAAAAAAAAGGGACTGAACGGGCTTGAAGACACTACTTCGGCCTTAATAGGACCATGCTCTGATCGGTTCCGTTTGTAGGGTGGGTGGAAGGGTGGAAGAATCATGATTTAATACTGAAGCTGATAATACTTCAACTAGTATAACAAAGCGTTACAGACTCCATCTACACCCATAAAACTGCTAGGTGACTAGCATATATATAAGTGACTCCACATTTGTATCATACAAAGGAAGCATACTTAACTATGTACACACACACACACATACACTCATCCTATTACATATAAACCAGTCCAAAAAGAGAGTCTAAGGAGCTATAGCTTGAGATTTCTTATTGAAATCCTGAACTATCACACCATTGTGATAATGCACCACCTCGTGGCAGTTCATAATCTCGTCTGGTTTTACCTGATAAAGGTGGGACTGTTGTGGTTGGTACTGTGGTGGAACATTAGATTTTTGTGGATTAGGCCTCGTCTTTTTTCTGTGGAACGCTTCCAGAATAGCGAAGCCTTCTTTTTCTATTCTTGCAAGATCTGCTTTGGATGACATTTTTTAAAGTACAGGAAAGAAGTATGAAGAAGTTACAAGGAAATGTTTTGTGTTGGGTTGCTCTTGATGCATTGGATACAAGGTGAAATCCCTTTATATAGAAACTCAATGTCTATTGGGAGAAAAAAGTAGCTTAGAGAAAAATCTAAACTAGTGGACATTGGAATCCTATCTTGTGAGATTCCTTTCAGATGTGTATCAAGCACTTTTCCAATCCTTAGCAATAATTATCAGAAAAATGCAATAAAAAATGAAGAAAGCACAGTCGAATTAATTCATCGTGGTTTACACTCGAGAGCTATATCTATAGGTTTTCAGTGTAACAGAGGAGCGTACAAGTTTTTCCTCACGTCTCTTCCATGCAGAACATCCCTGTGAAAATTCCTTTATTACGCAGGAATATTAGGGCAATCTAATACATTTATGAAATACTCAATAAATCCTTGGTCGACCCAAAGTAAATTATAAAGAAGTATTTGTGCTTGCAATTCAAGCTTTTCTATGACATCGAAACATTGTAGTTAGAGTTGCTAACATTTGTCACTCCGATTTTCACCTCGTTCTACAGTGAGAAACAAGACTCTTGATTTGATCTGCTCCTTTATCAGTGGGTTATCCTAGTATCAGATTCGATTTCCAGAAAGTTTTACTAGTCAATAGACTCAAATAATTCAAAATGTACTTTATTCTTCACAACTTTTGACAGATTTGATTTACCTAAAAAAGATTACCTTGACAAAAAACTAGGCTTATTGCATGGATAGCAGCATATGATCAGATGTAATTAGCTCACAAGCTTCTGAAAATTGTAGACAGAATGTTGGACATTGCTCGTCATTCTCTGGCTGGACTCTGTGGAATATATACAGATCAGGCCATCTTACTATAACAATGATTTTTAATAGTCATTTTTGAGGGTTTGAGCAGTGTGAGAAAACTTTGGTATACTTCTCCAATGTAGTGAAACCTACAGCAGGAAGGGGAATCTGACTCTTGCAATTTGAAGGTGAACCACTATAAATTTTTTGTGATTCCTTTGCTTGTCCGGTTTTCATTCTGGTTATTACT